ATATATATAAACTAAATCAAATTTTAAGTTTCCAAAAAAATTAACCCAAATAAAAATGTAATCTAGTTCAAGTTTAGTTGTATGAGTTGGTCGAGTTCTTAGTGGTATGAACACTTCTACATTGAACCAATGAAAGTATTGTCGGGTTGGGAATATACCCGTAATTATTCTCGACTCCAATTATATTTTCGAGTTGGGTAGGAATAGTTAGGAGGATTAGTGAGAGTAAAGTTATATGTCGGCTGAAGTAATGGGAAGTGGAAAAAATGGAGTGTGGCAGAAGCGTCGAACAAGGGTGTGTTGGTCGCAGTAGCCACGCTACAATGAATTCCAAATGAGACAGCTATTATGAGAGTGAGTGTGGGAGAGATAATACATTCAAAATAATTACTCAATTATTATTTATTTATTTTTTAAATCTTAATATATTTTATTTAATTAGTTATATTTATTTTCAATTCCATTTCTATTTCTCATTCATATATAATTAAATTAATCTGAATTATACTTAAAAACATTCAATATTTTAAATTTTTTATTTTTTTTATGGTCGTAAATAAAAGCTAATATATTGAAAGATTCTTGAAAGTATTGAGCTTAAAACATTCGAAAAAACAAAAAATGAACGTATACCTTCCAAAATCTATAATTATTCAATTTGTCATCGCCATCATTGGAAAGAGAGGAAAATCATTTCATCCTCATCGAAATGAGTATCAACTTGACATGGTTGATATCGAAAAGTGGAGAATAACACCATCGTTTTACGACACCATACATGTCGAATATTTTGTTTACCTCGAAATGATTAACCTTCAAATTCTTGTCGTGTAGAAGACGAACGGGAACAAAATTTTAACCTACGTAGAATTTTATGATTAAAAAAACTGAAAATATTAGGAATTCTCCAGAATATTTTCTGTTGGGGAAGGTGGAGCCCACAAAGAAAATGTTTTTGAAATATAATTTTGGTTTTATTTAATAGGCTCTAAATAACAACAAAAACATAACCCCTTCCTCTCTAAGGGTCCCCTCTCTTTTAGGATACCCTGCCCTTAACGTCACTCTTGAATTTATATCACCTGATTTGAGTATTTTAAGAAATACTTAATAAGTATATTTTAAAATATATTTAATAAATCACCCACGGTTAGAGTTTATAGTGTAATTACTGATCTTGGACTCTTTCCAGTAATTTAGGCTAACAAATAACGGACATTACACTCCGTCTCCCTCAATTTTAACGTATCTAATATATTAGTGAATGCGAGATTCAAGCCTCGGATTTTACTTCGTTCATCTGCACTCACTTCCTTCATATATCTATCTATGTTGAATCAATGTGTAACACCATGTTAAATCGACGAAATTAGTAATAAGTATATATTAAATAGAAAATTAATAGCTTAAAACAAAAATACGATATTATCCGCTTTTAATATAAAATTACAGTAACTTTACTGGTAATTTTATCAAAATATCTCGTACCAATTGAGACACTGTTCCTTTTGTAACTGATGTTAGTTATGGGTTGTGACTTATAAGCATGGTTGGTGAATAAATAATTTTTTTAAAAAATAATTAAACAAATAAACTTACAATCCAATCCAATCTAACCGGACGAAAGTTGTTCCTATCATCAATTCAAATAATCCGAGCTTTTGAGTTGATCGAGAAAAAAATATCCGAACCGATCCGAATAGACCGTTATCGTAAAACCCTAAAACGAGGAAATAAGGGGTATTGTTTATTTTTAAAAAAAAGTAAAAAATACAAAATAAAAAATGGAATGAACAGTGAGTTTGCATGGGATGGTAAAAACAGTACAAGCTGTTCCCATCATTGGAACTCACTGTTAATCTCAAATATGACGTCATAATTTCATAATTTTAGGAGTGAGAGAGAGACAAAAACAAAGGGTCATGATGCCCTTATCTTTATTTAATTAATTTCCCCTTTATCTTTATTTAATTAATTTCCCCTTTTTCATTTGTACCTTTCAACCTTCACATCCAATTGGTCGTATATCTTTATTCTACGGTACCACATCGGTTTTTTCTAATCATTACACCATATTCAAGATTATCTTCATGCCCTAAATTACCATAATGGATATCCCTAAAACCATCCACTATTCTATAACCACCATCCGCCATGGGGGTACTCTAGTAACTTCCCCTTCAATTTTCCCAATAATTTCTTTTGTCTTATTTATAATGTAACATAATTCCATAAATCATAATTTCAATATTTTACTCTTTAAATAATCTCAATTTTTTTACGTAATTACCGGGAGATCCCACTAGGGAAACGAAGTACTTTTTATAACGGTGAAAATCTTTCCTTAACAGACACGTTTTGAAAACCTTAAAAAGAAATATCTATTGGCGGTAGGCGTAGACGGTTCCAATTGTAGAGGGGAACGATGTAAAAACATCTCCCTGATAAACCCGTTTTAAAAATCTTGAAAGAAAGTGTAAAATAAAACTTAAATAAAATAATATCGGCTTGGATCGGTGAATTTTGACTATTACAATTATGGAATATATTCAAATGGGAAAATTACCATTTTAGGGTTTTGTTTTTTATACCCATTTTTTGTGGCTACAAAATGAGTAATCATTAGATATATTTATAGAAACATAGGTCCGAAAATAAAACCAGACCAAATCAAACATAATTTTTTTTAGGACAGTGACTTTTTATCTACCACTACATATCCAATGTATCCCACCAACTTAATAGGAACCCTATGGTTTTATGCCACAAAATTGGATCTAAATTTAAGCTTAATAGCCCTCACACTTTCCTTAATCTTCGTCGTCGTTAGATCCCATTCGGTTGAGAAGTATGAAACATTCAACCTCCCCCTAGTAGACGCGTTTTAAAATTGCGAGGCTGACAGCAATACAGGCCAAAGCGAACAATATCTACTAGAAATGAACTTGGGTTGTTACATTCTAAGCTGACCAGTCGTACACTTTTCATAGTCTTCTCTATTATAACCCTACTTTTTAAAGTAGATTAAAAACCATTATGATTTATTTTTTAGTTTTTTTTAAGATATAATATAATGTTAGTCTATATGAACTTCGACATATAAGATAATTCAATAGCTAAGACGTTTGACCTAGTTCCTCTCGTAGCACGTAGGTCGGAAATTCGCTATTTAAAGTCAATTTGTCACTTCTACCTATCATTCAAATTATTTATATGTAGATTAATATTCTTCCACTTTATATAGATAATAAGCTTATTTATATAATTAATAATTAATTTTGGATAAATTATAAATTTCATTTTTTAACTTTTAATATTATTAGTATTTTAGGTGGTTCAATCTCCCATCATACCATTGAACTTTTTAATTATTATTATTTTTTTAATAATTAAGGAACATTTTAAATTTTTTTTACCCAATATATGTTAATAAAAATATAATGTAATAATATTTAGAGGAATAGTATTTAACGTTGTTTTCATATTACACACGTGATTTTAAATAATAATAATAATAAATATAACCCACGACAGCCCACCTGTCGTGTTTTTTAAATCAACAGTATATACTTTATTAATAGAATATAAATTATATATATATATATATTAATTGCAATAATTAATCAAACTATATTTGACTAAAAAAAAGAGATTTATTCACTATTTTAATACTCTATTTTCGACGCATGTACAGAAAATCGAGCCGTTACAGAGTTCTTATGATTGAGTCACAACAAATGAAGGTGTACCTTATTGTATAAACGACGACTTTTAATTATATTTAATTATGTTTTAGCCATCTTATTCTTATGATTGCTCTCATTCGGATGTAACCTCGGTTCAATTTATACCCCTCTTTAACTCCGCTGTCACATCGTAAATCTTGAATATTAAACATTTATAAGTCAGGATGCGTCACAAATATGAACCACAAAAGTCAAATATTCTGGTACGATATTTTTTATTTTTTTAAAATTTAATCCAATTTAAATCGATACAATCATCCAACTTCCACGCCGGCCCATAAGCGGGCCGAACGGCCCAAGTTCTCTTCTAGTTTATATGGGCCGATGGCAATTTGGGCCCATGAGTTGTACGGCATACGCCGAATTTCAACATATTAATTTTTTATTCCATATTAAAAATGTTCGCTTAAAATAAAATAATAGATGGGAACGGCCACAGGTGATTATGACCCCATAAAGCAACCTTAAGAACCACGCTTTGGGCGGCTCTTAAAAGTGCCTCCTTCATAACCACAGAAGTCAAATACAAATAATAAAATTAGTATATAAATTAAATCATAATACTGTCATTTAACAGCGACTAAATCCCCCATATTTATTAATATTAACCATTAATTAAGCATTAATAAAAGTCAATGCATTGTTGTAGCTTATACTTATAAAAAGTCAACGTACATCATCAACCTATAATTGGGTCGTAATCCATTCACCACCCAAAGACAACTCTGATGGTAAATCACCACTAATTAGTATCACGAAGGTGACTTTGATGATAATCATGAAATAACTAACGTGCAATCACCATTAATTAGTATCACCCTGTGGAGGCCAGTATGACGTTAATTACCAAATATCGTCATATATTAGTAAAGTCGTGAATAAGAATATCCAAATATAGTTCGTATTTTTTTAATTCTTTTTTAAATTTGAAAGATAATAATAATTTTTTTTTTATAAGAGTATTATTGAAATATATTTTTAGATAAAAAAAATAGAGATATTTTAATTAATTTGGCGCAATAAATATGATTATAAAATTTAGAAAATAAAGAAAATAAAGGTAAATACATTGTAATTTAATAATAAAAGGAAATAACACACGTTTCCGTTTCCCAAGGTAGGGGGTAGGAAAGTGGGACCCACACAGATGGGTCAGCGGTCAGCATTGCCCGCTGATAAACAGCCCAAGCACCGGCCCAATTGCCACATTATGAAGTCCCAAGTTTCCATCGTTAGAAAACGCCTCTTATTTTCTTGTCCGCCTATATATATATATATAAATCATTCGCAGTTCTTCAACGCGATTTTACAGGCGGACTTTTTTCTCCAACAATCCCTCGCTGCCACTCGCCAAGGTATTTCCTGTTTCTTGCTTCTTTTCTCTCTCTCTGTTACTTTCAGATCCGCCTTACAGTTTCACTCTCCTGTTCTTATATATTTGTTCGTTTTTCGCTCTTTGTATTACCCTATTGTGTACAGATTCATCTTTAGGTAAATATGTTTTTGTATTTTGTGAGATCTCTGCGTTCCCGCTTTCTGGCGTTGTGATCTCTTCGCTTGGATTTGCTGGTGCTGTGTTGTTGTTGTTCTTGTTAGATTCAGATCTCATATAGTTTCCTGTTTTTATTAGCGTTTTTTTTTTGTTCCAAAAAACTTGATTTGATCTGCTATGATCCGGTAAATTTTGCTTTGCGAGTTTGTGTTTGGGAATCTGGTTAATCTTTGTTTAGTTTTTTGTTACGAGATTGAATTTTTATCTGTGGTTGTTAATTGATTGCCCTTCTCCCTGTTTATGCCCCAAATTTGGTTAGCTTAGGAAGGTTTATGATCCTTTATGTTTTGGATCTGAATCTGGCGTGTGTGTTTCTTAAATTTTATATGTTTTGTAGAGATTTCGATGTTTTATATATTTCACCAAGTGATTTGAGTTGTGACATGGAATATGTGTTATGCCTGATTTTCTTGGGACTCTTTACTTGGATTTTGTCATTTTCATCTTAGATTTAATTTCCTTGTAGTCGATTAATAGTTAATCTGTCATGGTATCATTCAGTGTAAGCAATGTGTAAAGATGTTTGAAGTGTTGTGTATCTGGAATATCAAATCTCTTTTATCTTCAATTTTGTTTTTTTTTTCCTTCTCCTGAACTTGAAGTGAGAATTTTTTATAATCTGATCTTGGGAATTTTTGCAGGGAAGAGAACTAACCATGGCTGATCAGGTTCAACATCCCACTATCTATCAGAAGGTTGCTGGTCAGCTCTCCCTTCAGTCGAGGGTTGCTTCGGGATTCCGTGCTTGTGATGATGGCTTCAGGAACCCTGCACTTTACCAGAGACGTGCATCAATCAGCAATTATTCAAATGCTGTTTTTCAATACCCTGCTGTGCAATCTTGTGTTGCTACAACTGATCTTTCTAGGGTGGCCACTACTGCCTCCCCCATTTTTGTTGCGGCCCCTGCTGAGAAAGGAAACTTTATGCTTGACTTTCTCATGGGTGGTGTCTCTGCCGCTGTATCCAAGACAGCCGCTGCCCCAATTGAACGTGTCAAGCTCTTGATCCAAAACCAGGATGAGATGATTAAAGCTGGACGTCTGTCTGAGCCATACAAGGGTATTGGTGATTGTTTCAAGCGTACAATCCAAGATGAGGGTTTTGGTTCATTGTGGAGAGGAAACACTGCCAATGTCATCCGTTATTTCCCCACTCAAGTGAGTATTTTGCTTCCTTTGGCTGATTATATCTCTCCTTTTTCTCAATTTTGTGTTGTGCTAATTGTTTTATGAAATTTTATTCCAGGCATTGAACTTTGCTTTCAAGGATTACTTCAAGAGACTTTTCAACTTCAAGAAAGATAAGGATGGTTACTGGAAATGGTTTGCCGGTAACCTGGCATCAGGTGGTGCAGCTGGAGCTTCATCCCTTCTTTTCGTTTACTCTCTTGACTATGCTCGAACCCGATTGGCAAACGATGCCAAAGCTGCCAAGAAAGGTGGTGGTGGAAGGCAATTCAATGGACTGGTTGATGTTTACAGGAAGACATTGCAGTCTGATGGTATTGCTGGTCTTTACCGTGGATTTAACATTTCTTGTGTTGGTATCATTGTGTACCGTGGTTTATACTTCGGTATGTACGATTCTCTGAAGCCCGTTCTCTTGACCGGAAAGTTGCAGGTCAGTTTGCTTATGATTTCATGAGTTGTTTTGGGTATGATTTGTCCATAGAAAAGTTGCAGGATGTCTGTGTTTAGATGTAGTACTTATCATTTACTCCCGTTTGTTTGGCTATACAGGATAGCTTCTTCGCTAGTTTTGCCCTTGGTTGGTTGATCACCAACGGTGCTGGCCT